GGCCAATTAATATAAAATGCATGAGGCAATACTGCCACTAGGTATTAAGTGTGATGGAGGTGACAGGGCTAGAAGAGGGAAGAAAGAAAAAAACTGCTTTTATTCCCCTCTGGAGACAGCAAAACAGTGGTGAAGGTGTTTGTGATCAGTTCTTCCTTCCCAGACATACCCACTGCATTTGTCCCTTAAAAACACATCAATCCCTCATGTAGGCTCACCTGCTGCCAGCCCCAGCCACTTGCACTCTAAATACGTGCACTCTTGGGGTATGTTTATACTGCAATTAGACAACCGCAGCTGTCCTGTGCCAGCTGATTCGGGCTAAGGGGCTGTTTAAATTGTGCTGTTGACCTTTGGGCTCGGGCTGCAGCCTGAGCTTTGGGACCCTCCCACCTCACGGAGTCCTAGAGCCCGGGTGCCAGACTGACTGAACGTCTACACAGCAACTAAATAGCCCCTTAGCCTGAGCCCTGCGAGTCAGCTGGATCCCCTCACTGCTCTGCCCTGGTCACACAACCACTCCCTCTACATTGCCCTGAACCTCTGGGCCCGCCTAATCCTTGCACACTCCCTTCTCTGCCACCAGATAACATTTTACACCTTGAGACAGTTCTCCCCAGTGAAGGGCAGAAACGGAGTAGTCTGATTCTTGCTTCCCTCTGTTGCAAGAGATTATCCTTCTTTATTTAAAAATCTGGGCACTTCAGGTTCTTTGAGTTGAGCTCAAAGAACCTGAAGTAACATTTGATGTGAATAAGGATAAGGTAAAAAAAGAAAGAAAAAATACTTGGAGTTTTTTATAGTTTCACTTCTTTTTTGAGTAGGTGTAGGTTGCACCAATATAGAAAGAAGTACTCAATGTCAAGCTATAAATAGCTCCTGCTGAGAGCATAATAGCTCTGCCTCCACAGAGCACAGACAATAAACTATCACTATTAGAGTTATACAGTTCAGGAGCAAGCACATTTAAACAAAAAGGGTTCTTATTCCTACCACAAATCCAATAAAGGAAATATTTACACCATACATAAAGTATGTTTATAGCATATAGCCACATTTTGAATAAAAATACCTGCCTATTGAATGAAGTTGTAAATATCTGATGTTTTATTCACTTTAGAATCCTATTTCCAGGAAAATAATGTCATTACTTTTGAAATATACAGCTATACAATTAAGACATTTTATTTGTTAAAGAATTACCATATTTGTGACATGGACAATTCCTACAGCTCCACATTACATATTCATCACCATTATAAAGCTTACAATCAAAATTAACTTTACGGAAAGGCATAATTAATTTGTTTTTGATTATTTAAGTGAATGGGCGGAAGAAAAAGGAAACTGATTTACTTTTGATGCCAACATACACTGTTTCTGAAAATATACACTAGGGTTACCATACGTCCGGATTTCCCCGGACATGTCCGGCTTTTTGGGACTCAAATCCCCCGTCCGGGGG